ACCTCTATATACACTACACAAACACATATCATGACAAAAATATTTTTTGGAATAAAATTAAAATATACTATAGTAGGTGTTTGACTTTTAGTGTATGATTTGGTTTTTTTCCGGTTCTAAGTTGGCAAACCCTGCCCCCCCCCCCATTCCAAAAGTAGGATTTCTAGGGGGGAAGGGGAGGGACTTCTGGTGGCAAAGGTCAGGGGTTAGAGGTGGGACTTCTGGTTGCAAGATGTCGACAAAGGAGAAGGGCAACTGTCAAGGGGCAGGGCCCTTGACAGCTCACCAAAACTCGTTAAGCAGCTCTCCACCTGAAATAATTGCCCACTCCTGTGCCAGAGGTACAGTGTCTATACACTGGGATCTTCAAAAGGAAAGGGAGCAAAGTTAGCAATTTTCTTTCTTGAAGAAGAAATAAACCAGACTTCTATTAGGCAGAAGAACATGTGGAACCATATTTATAAAAGTTTGTATTAAACAACAACCAAAGCCTTTGGGAACCTATACATGTGCAGCAAGGTTGCTCTGACGTGCTATAATTACAGGCAACCCCTGCTTAATGCTGTTTTGCTTAGCACTAGTTCACTATAACACTCATTTTAAATTGATACCCGATTTCACTTAGCGCTCAGCAAGTTTCGTTATAATGCTCATGGTTGCCATCTTGGATCATTAAAAACAACTGCAGTTGCCATCTTAGGTCATCAAATACTTTCAGCTTCACTTAATGCTCAGGTTTTCAGGAACCAATTAAGAGCACTAAGCAGGGGTTGCCTGTACAGTACGTCAAAGCAGACTCCAGTGTCACATGTATCAACGTCCCCATGCTGAAAAATGGCATCATGAGTGCTTTAACTAAAGCTCATTTGACAGGTTTTAGCTAAAGTGCTGCCGTCGCCATTTTTCAGTGCAGGGACATTGATACACAGGACACTCTGGGAGCTTTAATTAGAGCAGCTCTCGAAGCATCACTCTATGTTTGAGCCATGACCATAACAATCCGTGGTTAAGTTTCTCTCCAGTTACAGGCTTCACAGTGTTGCTCTGCTTTGTGCTCATGAGCCAAAAAGATGTTGATGCTTTCAGGACTACAAACCTAAATTTGAACAATAATTTCAGCTTTAAAGAAGCAGATAAGACTCAGATGCTATACTCTATACCTAGGTGTGCTAGGTAAGCATGTGAACACAGGTAGTGAATGAAAAGCAAGTCTAACCTATTCAATTTGATATACCTAAGAAGCTTCTCATAGGTGGGTTCTGCCACTTTGCAGGCTCTCATTTATTCTTCCTGCTTTTTGTGGCCTTAAACACTTACTTATTCTGAAGAAACAGGATACAGCTCTGTCTGATGTTAATCAGGCGTTTCATGACATCTTTATAAATGGATGTAAAATATCTCTTCATTCAATGATTAGGTTAATTAATCTTCCACCTACTTCAAATGCATTTGCTCAGCAATTGGAGAAAACAGGTGCACGATAAAGAGCTTTTATAATAAAAAAATAAAATTTTAAAAATATGTCATCAGATCTGAATCTACTTTAGGGCCAAGCACAATGCATGTCAGTAGGCACTGCTACTTTCTCCAATCCAAGCAGGTTATTTTCAAAATAAAGCAGTGCTGGCTCCCCATAGTCCAGATGAATAGCACAGGGTCAGTCCACATGCCAGCTCCTGTGTGGGCTCAGAGTACAGGGTCAGTGCATGGGTGTGACCCTATGCTTTGGATCTGGCCATGGTGCAACTATGCAGGGCCATGTCACCTGGACCACACAGTTTCCTACCTGTCCATAAATTTGGCAGTGGAGCAGTGGTGGCAGCATTGGTTGTTATGGCTTTGGGAGAAATTAACACTGCTACCACTCCACTGCCGCCAAATCTCCAGACATGTGGGGAGCCCCAGAGGCTGGATGACGAAGCTCCATATGTTGGATTCAGACCACGGGCATGAGGTCGAGCTCCACTGGACTAGAGCACCTTGGGCCTTCCACACTGGTCTGTTAGAAGTTGTTAAGGAAAGCACATACCTGTCTAGTGCAGCAGAACCAAGCCGCTGTTTGATATTATCACTGGTAAGCAGCAAAGCAGGACCTAGAAGAGTACAAAATCATTACATACAAACACCAGCTCTCTGGCTGCTGACAAGTTGTACAAGAAAACAGAACAAACATTCCTTTCACAAAGTGCGCCATGAATAAACTTTCTTTCAAGATCCTAAGGAGTACCAGCACTGTCTAGAATCAACCCTGCCTAGAGGGGTCAGTCCCTGCCCACAGCTCTAACAAAGCACTTCCATATTTACCTGCAATGACTTTTACTCTAAATTCCCATGCTCCTGCTAATGCCTGTCAGTCCTAGCCCACAATGCCTCTGACCTACAATATATGAGGGTTTCTACTGCAGCCATTTCTGATCTAGATTTTTGTTCTGGCAATAAACAATGCAGGTGTCCCATCTTCAGCTGAGGAAAAACTGGAATCCTGTTTCTAAAGAAGGAAAGGTTACATTATTCACTCACTGAACCAGTCTTCATTATATGTACATCTTTCATGGACACAGGGCCTTCTACTCCTCAAATGAATCCTAAAGTATTTTCCCCTAATCTAGTTCCCCAACAACAGTTACTATGCACTATGTATAAAACAACTAAAATAGACAGGACTTTAGTGTCATTGCTACTCCTAAATGGGTCTAGAGAGTAAAATCAAAGGCACTTTTCTACCAGGTGAGGAAAGAGAGAGGGGGAGAACAGATCTGCTGATCAAATTGGGTCTTGCACACCTAACGTAGATTGGGTCTTGCACACCATACTAAGCCACTCAAGTGACTTTTCAACACACATAATGAAAAACTTTTTTTTTCTTTCAGCCATTTTATTCAATATTTTATTAGCTGTAATAAATGTCATATGCAGTGAAGTTTTCCCACCAGAATAATTTCAGCTAGATAGACAAGACACGGAAGAGAAATTTAAAGAATTAATCTCATCCTGAAAGGAAAGGTCGTCTCATATATTGAGAAAGACATTTGCATTCAGCAAAACATGAAATAAAAATCCCCCTGTACTAACATTTCCCCATTGTAATAATTCATTTCCTTGTTAATGCAAGAACTGAATCTGTTAATAAGATAACAAGCTGTTTAAAATTATATGCAGCCTCTTAATGCATGATAAAGCAGTACCACTTGTATACGGAGCAAAGTATTAGAAGCCAGGAACATGAGTTTGATTCTAACTTTGCCATTAACTTGCTATGTGACATTACAGAACTTGGGCTTAACCTTCTCAATATCACTCATCAAAAACAACAGTTGGTAAGAGAAGATTGCAGGTTCACTGCTAAGTTCTCATAAGGGAGAAATGACAAAAAGTAGTTCCTTATGTTTGCCCCCTTTTTGGCCTCATTCTATATGTTTTAGGATACAATTGTATTATCATAATTACAACAATAGTATTTATACATTACTATTGTAATGTAATGAATACAATTTATCAATTTATACGTTACTATTGTAATGTAATGAATACAAAAATGTATTCATTACATTAAGCCTAGAAGCCCTTACGGGCAATTGGAACACTACAATGGCAGACAGTTTGAAAGAGAGACATTGCCCTCAAAACTTTCCTGCTTATTCAGTTCCTATCATTTTCTCAACTTTGACTGAAGTAGTCAAAACTGTTCTTGCAACCGCCAGCTAAAAGGAAACCTAAAGTAATTAGGGAGAAAGCTTTTCTGTACAACAGACGTTGAAAGCACTGACATTTGGGAAAATATAAATGCCAGCATTTGCTCTGTTTTAAAGAATGAAAAATAATATAGAAACTTAATGCAGTGTATGACACTGACATTTGGAAAGCTGGGAGTTGACCTCAAATGTTAAAGATGTTTTCCTTTTCATTCTGCATATAATTTTAAACGGTAGTATCCTTAAACTGATGTGGCCTTTATTTATTTATTAAATAATTTTAATATATTACAGTAAGTTTGGCCTTAATGCACAAGTTACCTTTTTCTAATTTAAACAGGTTTATTTTTAAACAGAAAAAGTATATTAATTTACATAAAATCTGACAAATAAAAAAATCAATTTCTAGCCACTCTATTTTTTCCCCACAATACTTTTGTTCCTCCCTGCCAGACCTCAACTCATCTCCATGCATTTCAACACACGAGTTGACACGATACAAAAAAAGCAGCGATCACTTCAATTTTCACTCTCATATCTCCAAATGGCTAAACCTTTTTCCATTCTTATTCATTAATTATTGGATCTCTGGGAATGGAAAAGGAGAAGGGAGAGAAAGAGAAGGACAAAAGAGTCACTGCCAACCTGGTACATAAATTAAGACTTTTGGCGGGGGAAGATGAAACAAAAGATGATGCTTCCAGGTATATTTTTCATTCTTAAATAAAGTTTTTGATAGTGGAATTCTATTATCCTTTGAAACTGCAGATACTGGAGTCACAAAACAGCATCTGTGAGCGTAAGCATGAGCAAAATTGCACATCTAAATGCTCTCACAAAAACCTGCCTATAACTGTCGGCTCTCCACATTACACAACTGCCGCTGCGCCAGAGTACTGGCAGAGGATGGAATCGTGCTTCCAAAGCGATCAGTCAGCTTTGCTTTGCTTTGCTTCAGAAGTAATGACCATCTGCACTGCACTTTCATTTTCTAGCATACTCCCAATTAACAAACCAAAAAAAGCTCCACCTCATTAACATGTTCAAGAAATCAACATACCCATTCTTAAGCAGGCAAAACAGAACTATGAAAACACTATTTAAATTTAAGTAGCTCAGACAACCTTGGTGCTAAAGTAATTTCTCCTGTACATGCCCTTCATACCGGTGTGTTAAATAAGCATTATAGGGCTCTAGGTGCACTATTGCTTGTAACTGTGTGAGATTATCACAGCTGCATTATGTTTAAAATGCTGTATTCACCACACCTAGTGCTGGTGGTGTTTTTCTGAAAACTAACCTCCACCTGCAGCCCACCTCACCCCAGACTTCCTGATAACCATCTCGAAGAGATGAGAGCCTGGATTCTAAAATGATATTTATGTAAAATCGAAAGGGAGCAAAGTTGCTTGAAATTCCATAGGAAGCATCCTTGGGATCCTTATTTACTTTAAATATGTCAGCACCCAGGAGGTCTTGCTGCACATCAGCAATGTAATCTCATACCAATGAGGTGAATACTCTCTGCTGAGGAATCTCACCAGGGAACTTTTTACTGGTGCTCCAAATGTTTCCATTTTTCAGGATGATTGTTCCCCAACAAACTTTAAGATCAAGTTAAGGATAGAGGCTAATAACTAAGGTTTTGGTTAACATTACCCTTCCAGAACCATGGAAGCCTACGAAATGTAGTTAAGGCAGCACTTCAACAAGGCACCCCAATTCTACCACAGTAGAGGTATGCCAGGCAGTCATCTACCCTTCTTTCTCAAAGAATATCAAAAGGATGCATGCCAGAACACTGGTTTTTATAGCCCATCCCATAAGCAAACAACACAAGGCATCCTACTTTCTGAGAATGCTGCTCTGAACAGGCAAGGTGTTCAAGTTGGCCTCTCAGCTCTGCTCCCAAAACAGTGCCCTAAGGGGTCTTTAGGTGCCTCACTGAAGAAGGTCCACTTTAACTTTACATTTCCTTAATTTCTAGCTTAGATGTGTGTCTTTGTAAAGAAACTGTTTTTAAAGGCATCACTTCCTGAAACCCCAGGTGCATGCATCTCTGCAATTTCAGCTACAATGCCTTTTGTAAGGACATCTCCTGAGGGCTTTTTGATGACTCTCATGTCTACTGGATTGGGGCTCTGTTTGTGTATATGAAGCTCATGGAGAAATGCCTGCTTGGCATCCTTGTTGTTAAAATCTCTTGCTAATTACAGGCCCTGACAACTGAATTGTGGAAAACAGCTTTGATGCTGCAAATCTCCTCAGGCCTGCAGGGAAAGGGAGAAACAGTAAGCCAGAGGTATTGCCGCCAGCAGGACTTAGAAAAAGCACACAAGAATCACCATGCTCCTCCAAACTCCAAGCAGGATACCCAGGAGCGTAGAATCCTTCCCAAAGCTTTCTTATTTGTACATTAAAAAGTTCCTCAGATTCCTGACAAGGTTCTTTGGGTAAATGTGATATATTTTATTAGACCAACTAAATAGTTGGAAAAATTGTTCTTTGCAAGCTTTCAGGCACAAACACCCTTCTTCAGGCACGGGGAGAGTTTGTTGTTTTTTTGGGTGCTCTTCTGGGTGGAATGGAAGCCAGTATGCAAACAGTTTGCCTAATTTTTCCAGCTGTTTAGTTGGTCTAATAAAAGATATCACATTTACCCAAAAAACCTAGTCTGCCTATGTCCTTAGACCAACACAACAACCAACAGCCCTCAGATTTCTGACCACTTCCACTCCACCCACTGTGGGGTCTTAATAGACTTGGCAAGGTCCCCAACACTGTCAATGTCGTGGACAGGAAAAGGATGTCAAGAAGGTGGGGCTGTGAATAGCTCCAAATCCACTGATTCCTTCTTTTTAAGACTTGCTTTAAGCACAGAATGGCTCAGGGTGCTAAAGTGCAGCGCTGATCTCACAGCATTTCTAAAGGGTATCAGCATCTCTGACACGAAACAAAGGACAACTATTGATACATATATTTATCATTACTAAGCAGATAGATTCTCAGGTAAAATTACTTTAAGTTCCAGGCCACACGGCTGCAATTGGCTGCTCCCGAAAAGAAAATATGCAGAAATGTGGATTTTAATTAAAGCACATCTAAAAATAACTCTGAAACAATACGTCTCCTTACTAGGGACTTTGAGAAAGATAGGGACACTGTTTTTGTGTTAATTTTATCCACCTCTGCCAGGGTGCTCTGAACAAAGAGGGTATATAGTTTTCACCTCTCATAAAATGATGGGAAGTATGCTCCAGCTCTTTAAATACCATCAACTACTTAAGGTGTTATAATGGTAAACCTCTCTTCCTCTGATTAGCTGACCATGAAATACCTTTAGTGCCAGAAGTAGTTGTAAAGACAACCTACCTGGAATAATACAGGTCACGGGAAGCTAT